TCAAAATTAAAAATATAAAATTTAAATATTTTTAAATCTAACTAAACTGTATAAAGATACAGTATACTTCAATTGACTTCCTCCAGATGGCATAGAGGTTAACTTCTTTCTCAAAAGTAAAAGGATGCTTGTAGAAGTTTAAAAAGGTAAATATGAAAGAATAAAGTTCATATATTTCTTACATGGGAGGTGATGATTAGGTTACTCTCATCCAGATATGAGAAGCCTGCTTTTCTAAATTCTTGTTACGCTTTAAAGCAGGTTAAACCTTTCTGATCCCATTTTATATAAAATAAAGTAGTTAGGGAATGTGTATATTTCAACATTTTGTAACAAATTTTAATTAAGTAAAAAAGAGTTTCAGTAAATAAAAAAAAATTAGAATACATTGTAAATTTAAATTTATCATTTTTCACGTATTAATTAAAATAAATATCATTAAAAGATTAAGTACTAATATTATGAAAAGGGGCTATGTGCTATTTTAGTATAAATATAAATGACATTTAGTCAAAAAATTATTAAAATTCATTACATATTATGAAACACATAATAAAAGAAAGTTTAGCAGTAATTTAAGTTAGGATGTGTATATGTATTTTTTATTTAATGATTGCGATTAACTTGATTTAAGTTTTGAAAATTAAGGATTATTTGAACGTGGTACAAGAATGACAGGTGTCTGAGAATTTAAGTAAAGGAAGGAACGAAGTGTACTGACGCGCGGTTCGGCGCTCGGTACGCTTTTAGCAAATGGGGTTATGTATGATCACTCTTAAAGTTTACAGCAAATATTTAAAAGAGGGTAATTAATAATTGTTTATACATTATGATACTTGATATTATTTAATTCTGATTTATAACAATGTACTAAAAGGAAAGACGATGTCTGAGAGTTCTTACTTTCGAAGGCCTGTAGAAATAGCTCATGGTCTGCTTGTATTTGATCCATTCGAGGACCTTTTTGTCCATCTACTTCTTTCTCCCGCTTTTTCGGCGGCATTTTCACACGATTCGTTATCAAATATTCTACAGTAAACTTACTTTCGTCACGTGAAAATACAATGACAACACCCGCCCCGCGCGAAATCTGCGGCGCTTAGCCTACAACTGAAGCGCACCCTTATATCGTTATTAACAACTAAACCTAAGCAATTGTGACGTCCCTAGGCGCCCTGAGCTTATTCTCAAGCGGGCACTTGCAAATCTTTCAAATTCCCTATCTGAGTGATACAGACGGTAGCCACCAGATGTCTCATCAAAGTCTCTTAAATCTTCAATTCTCTCAAAAGTGTTCAACTTCAATTCTTATTCCTATATATATTAGTTTCAAATTTCAATATTTCAGACGTTTAAGATAGGGATCGTCTGTATTAACTACGCTGTATAAACTTCTTTTTTTCTTCTTCTGTTTGTTTTTCTTCTTCTCACCACGGTATGTCCCCTCTTTCTAAATAGTGCATGGACTTTAAAAAGCCAGTAGGCCGGAGATGGAGCAAGATATATTATTTCCTTTCTTGTTGTGTATCCGCCTTTTTTAGGATTTTAGAACGTAACACAATCATTCGTTACCTGTACATATCGCGCGAAATGTAAATTATTATACATATATGTATATATATTGAAATTTATTATATTATATTTTATATTAAATAAAAAAATATTACGATAATAAATAAAAAACATTAGAATATAATAACATTAATTATATTATTATAAATTCATTTTAAAAATGTATTTCAATATTATAATTTTAATGTTTAATAGAAATCCAAATATTAAGTTAAAGTGACTATATATTTTTCAAGGTTGGTAGAACGTGAATATTGTACTAGAAATAAAAATAGCTATATGTGCATTCCAACGTAAAACCCCATGCAAGCAAGGGAAATATAAATGAATTGTACGTGCTTTATAACCTGCTTTTGTTCGTTTTAAGAATATTACAAATAAGTAGTGAATTTAAAAAAAGAATGACATCATTAACATATTTCATATTATTTTAACTTATGTTGTCACAGTATAATATGAAATATAACAATTTATTAAATAACATTCAGTGAAATTTAAATCACAATTTTAATTCAGTTAGCGGTACCATGAAATATAACATACTTCGTGTTACAAATATTCAATTTGTACAAAAACGGTTCTTTAAAAAAGTACAAGTAAGAGTTAGATTTGCCCCTAGTCCAACTGGTATGTGACTTGATTATTCATTTTACTTTATGAAATATAATTTAGTATAAAGTAACATAAAGTAAAAAATATATACAGTGTCATTATTATTTGCTGTAAGATAAATGTTATTTCCTTGTAAAATAGGTTTCTTACATGTAGGAAGTTTACGAACTGCATTATATAACTATTTATTTGCTCGTGCTAATAATGGTGCATTTATCTTGCGAATTGAAGATACAGATCAAACTAGATGTGTACCTGGAGCAATAGACAAAATTCAAAATGATTTATTATGGTCTGGTATTATACCTGATGAGGATCCAATAAGAGGTGGACCTGTTGGGCCATATGTACAATCAAAACGACTGGAAATATATAAGTATAATACATTCCTTTTGTTTAAATAAATATTAAAACTGTCACAATATCATAGTTGCATACATATGGATGTAATATGAATTATACAGGATGTATTT